AATTAAAATAAGTATGTTACTAAGAACTTTTACACTTCAGTTAACCCTGAGCAGTATAATGCGAATTTAATCGTGCAATATTAAAATATAATATGCATACAATAGTATATGTAAAACTAGTTTACCACTGCTCCTACAACACAAATAAATAAGTTTCGTTTGTACTGAAATCTCAACAACAACCTCATATTATAATCTTTGTAATACAACATGCATATGCTAATGACCCACAACTTGTTATTATTCTTTACTAAAGGCTAGTTAAATACTTAAGTTAAATAAATAAATACTTTAAATGTTATTGTTAGGTTTAGAATACTACGTAACTCGTAGAAAATATAAATAAATAAAATCAATAGGTATATAATATATATAATATCATAGCAGTAATAGTTATCGAAATAGAATAAATGAATAAAAATAAAAATATTTATTTTTTTATATAGAATAAATAAAAATACAATTTTAAATAATTCATAAATTGCTCAACTGAAACATCAAACCACTTAAATATGTGAAAACTGGTTCACGGTAGCAAGGACGTTTTTTTAAATTAGATTACAAGTAGACTAAACAACAGTACATATCATTATTTTTTTTAGTCATTATGCTAATTTTAAACAACAGTTATACCATATTAAAAACAACAATAAAAATAAAAGCCAGTACAGTAGGGTCGGAGCATATTGCGATAAATTACCGAAACTTAAAATCACTACTTTCGAATAAACACTTTAATGTGAATCTGTATTAATAGAATTAAAAATATCAATAAAAGCATTGGAATGACAAAACGTGTTTAAAATATGCATTTTCAGTATAAGGGTGAATACGATTATAGTTGCCCCAGTCTATAATAATTTATTGTCGTTATTACCTATAGATCGTAATCAACAATATAATGAAAATATTTTCAATACCTGTTGAATGTTTATTCACTCAACCATAGCAACCTAGGAATTAACTACGGCCAAAGTGCAATTTTCCCCTTTTTTAAGGGATTTCCCTTAATAAAAAAAATAAGAAAAATTTTTTGAGAAAATTCTAAACATTTTATTTTACATTTCAATAATATTGATAATAATGACTACTATAAGCCTCTAATTCTAAATAGGAATAAAAATAAAGAATTAGGTATATTTAAAACACGATACACTTTACAATTTGTTCAATCAGTAAACGCCTTTTTGGTGGTATTTTAGACTTAGAAGACTGACAAAATTACGCCTACTTAAAATAGTACGATGAATTTTGTAAAAAAATTCGTGTTCTTTGACTAGTTTACTAGGTTATGTAGAAAACCGATTTCAATTAAAAAATTCCATACTAAAAAAAATGTTTTGCATAAAAAATACGAAAATACGAAAACACAAAAATCTTTTTCCTACGTAACTATAGTAAAGTAGCCAAAGAACACATATCGCTTTACAGATTTTAAATCTGACCATTGTAAGTAATCGAAATTTTGATCTAAAATGTCATAAAAATAGACCGCTTTTAATATTGAAATTAGGACTAAGAAAGTACATTCGCTTTCCCGCAAAAAAAACCCGGTGTTTACGTTTTAAGTTTTTAAATTAAAATGTTAAATTAACTTTACAGTTCTCGGGAATTCGCTCAATCTGGTATTTTTTTATATTTATATAATAGGCATTTGCTAAATACACAAGTAGTTTCTGATTAGAAGAAAACGGCTAACTTGGCCGAAATTACTTTATTTATGAAGTAAGTTGTGTAAATTAATTTCTTATCTAATATGCAATATGAAGTTTATGGCTTAGGCAAACTTATATACATTTTAAACAAAAAGAAACCATTAGGTCTTTTAACTAAAGTAAAAACCCTAAGCATTATTTTTTTTTACATAAAAACAATTAATTTTTTCTAAGCTTTTAGAATGGGAGTTATGTAATTTGATCGAACTTTAACGCAATGGGGTTGGAGGAGGGGATAAATTCCAATACGAATATGTTACGTTTTCTCAGGATCACTAGGAATTGAGTTGACAACTTTTTCAATTTAGGTCGCAAAATAATGATTATTACAAAGTCTTCAGTTTTATATTACTTTATTTACATTAACATTGTAAATAAAATGAAATTTCCACGAATACAGATTTTTATAATAAATACAAGTAAAGAGTAAACATTTAATTCCGTTTAACCAGAAAAGCTACATAACCTCTCTTACTTGAATTAAATAAAAATTGTTCTAAAAAGTAATACAACATAATTAGGTTCTAGAAAAACAATAGTGTGAGAGTTTTAATCCGTCAAAAATATAAACTTGATAAAAATCTCTGTAAATAAATGGTGGGTTACTTGAAAATTACTATTAATTTGGATTTAATTTATGTCGTTTTTCCAAGTTAAAAAATAAAGAAAGAACAAGGATGAAAATAGAAAAGCTAATAATAAATATAGCTAATATAAATAAGCTAATAATGAACCGGTACAAAAAAAAAAGGAACAGATGACAGACTAGGTACTTTTTTTAAATTTAAATAATAACGATAATAATTTTTACATTTTTACTTAACTAATTGCGGATCAAATATAATTTTAATTTAAAGAAATAAAAATAGAAATAGTGCTAATAAACTTTCAAAGAAAAACTTTATAATTGAGAATGTTTGGTGCATCCGTGCAGAAAGGCCAAACCATTAAAGGAGAACACTTAAACGGTAAATCTAGTAAAGTGATGGATACATTTCGGAGCGATAACTTAATAAACGTTGTGTGTTTTAAAAATAACCTCACATTGTTAAAACGAATTGATGAACTATAAATGACAAGAAGCAACTGGATTTCTACTAATGATCCGGATAGTTAACTATACGGTTTTTTTACATTTTAATTAGGAATAATTTGACCCACATAGGTTGACTTTCTAAACGAACGACGACATTAAGTAATTTTTAAAATCACGACTGCCGATGTACACCAGTAATAGACGTCGTTAACTTGGTCGGCTTACACTAAAAACAAAAATACCAAATTAGGATAACAAACGAGAACTGTTTTTATTTTAATTTAAAAGAAACAAAAATACTAATAAGCGGAACAATAAATTATTTTTTTTATCGTAATTCTCATTAAGACATACACAAATAAAAATTGTTTTTTATTAGCGAATGTTAATTAAACTACACCGAAAATTATTACATTATTGCTTAAATTTGCTGTATTGGCAACAATTTCCACAGATAGTTTTAAACAATAAAGTTGCGCGTAAACAATATTTTTTTCTTAAGCCATAAAACAAATGGAATTAAAAAAAACTAATGCGCACTTTTCAATTTAATAAATATGATGAGTAATTATAACTATATCGTTAAAAAATAATTACTGGCATTATTAATATATCATCTGTCTAATTAGTAATATGTAACAAGTGTGTGAATTTGTGATAAGTAAACAATGTCTCTTTTAACAAAGAAAAATCAGATCGAACAAAGTATAGCCACTAAATAGACATACGATATATCCTACAATGTATTGAAAAACATTAGTAGTTACACAAATAAGATTGGTGTGGACGTTTTCTGGAACACAATTAAAATTTCAAATAATAATGGTATAGGTAGTTTTTACTGACATGTACCGACAAAATCTTTATGATCGTTTTTTGCCCACAAGAATTTTTCAATATAAATAACAGAACGTTCAACTGAAGAACTTGAGAGATAATAGACGTTACGTAGCATTTCATTAATCAAATAATAAGTTTCAATTGTCGTGTGAAATTCACTGCATTAATTGTAAACCAATATTAAAAATAAGTAATGATAAGTATCAATTTATAATTTTAATAAAGTTTGTGATTTATATCAATTGATTAATTACTCATGCATAATTTAATTTTAGACATTTAGAATCGTATACCAGACAAAATAATTAAAACCAGTTTACAATATTTATAAAAACTAAATTAAAAAAAATTAGAGAAAAATGTACATAATTCATAACAAAATTAAACTACTAACACCGCATTTAAACAGAAAGTTGAGTCAGTTGTTTGTTAAATAGTAGGGATGAATATTTTACAGATTTTAAATAAATAAGTGGGTACTTATGATAATTAATAGTCAAGAATTAGTTCAACTCGTGTCATATTATTATTTGAAATGTATCCAAAAAAACTATATTGCGTTTACATGATCTCTGATAGAAAATGTTGTTCACGTTTAAAAACTTTTTGGTTTTTTGTGGTCGAATATAGTTATTATTATTTTTATGGTGAATTATTATTCTCAATACAACGCAAATTTTGGTTCCATGCAGATGATTAGTTTATTTTTAACGACGTCTATTGTATAAATCTGAATAACAGACAAAAAAAGAATAAAATAATAATAACGCATTGAAAATATAAAAAAGATATTCAGCTGCGAGTTGCAACCTTGAACAAAACTGGGAAAATACACTGTGCTATTGAATATATTACATTATACTATATGGGCATGTACCATCACAGTAGGAACGGACAGTTAACAATCATTAGCGATGAAATTAATTTGAAAAATAAAAAAATAAATAGATGTGGACAATATATTTTTTTAACATCGTTATCAGGTATTTCGTTTAAGTTTAGACAAAATTTACGGTAATCCATAATTACGAGGACGGACGTTTACAAGGCAATAGCAAGTTAGGATACGGTTTACCCAATAAAAAAATACCGATAAGAGCTTAAGAACAAAACAAATAAAGCGATATCGTTAGTATTTCTATGTTATTTACTTATACAATACAGACGTTTCACACGCACGAAATTATCTTGACAAAGTTATCTTTTGACGTATACACTATACGACTACGCCGACTAAAATATTATATTTTTTAACTACTACCGTCGAGTTTTGTACCAGCAGTTACGCTACACTATTTGACTTTTTCGATTAAAAACCAATGTTTTTTTTTAATTATGCTTAAAAATAATTCATCATGGGGATTATTTATTTTGTGTAGCGCATTTTCAACTAGATTGAGTAAACGTACCTTTTTTGACTAATGGTTTCTGGCCGAATCTGGCCAACCACCAACGCAACAAACGGCGAAGCAACGAAAATCCTGTGGTATATCCTGCAGTGGGCTTTCCTGGATCTTGCTGGTACTTGTGTTGATGGAGAGCCGTCGGCAAACTACAGCTATCGTCTCTCTTACCGAATTCCTCGATCACAGGTGAAACGGTAGACACGGGGGCTACGACAGCCGTATGATGCTCTCTACTGTACGGTGACATATTTTAACGGATTTTTGTTTTTGTGTAAATCCAAACAAAATCGACGCCAATAACCCGCTCACATTATTTGCAATCACCACTTCCTGAATACGATCGCCTGCGTTTGAATTCAATATGGTATTTTTAAAAATATTATAAGTCATGCTATTATACCCGCAACACAAACTACCACGCATAACACAAAACGCCAGTTATTACGGAAATCAGATTAAATTATGAATAATTTAGTTTGCTCGCAACACTCTCTGTATAAACCCGATTGCAAATTTTCAGCAAAAAACTAAATTAGAAAGACCAGAAATTGCAGAAACTCGAGTTTTTTTATATAACTCAATATACCCACATTTTTGATTAAATACTAAATTATTTTCAAGGGTTTATTTTCAACATTGTCTTCGATAACAATGTTATTAGGCTAATTTGAATTGGCTACTCTGTGATTAAAAGCTACTCACGCAAAAAATGCATGGAGCACGATTAGGATTGTTAAACCATCATGTAGGAAATAAACCAAGTAATTGGGCAAAGCAAATTACAGCAAAATACATGTCGGAAAATAGTATAACCATTTTCCAAGAAATAAAGATAATGTCATATGCAGATAATGATTGAATTTTCTGATATAAGGTCAACCTGGGTATCTTAATACAGGATCTCGAGGTGAATTGTGTGGTGGCAGTGTAACGGGTAATGGTTATAAAGCATTCTAACAATCTTATTAAACGGTCCAATGAAGTCTCATGCTACGTAATTTAATTTTCATAACACCGACCAAAAAACTTATGTTGTAATTTATTCCTATATAGTATTATATAATTTTACCAATAACTATTTCTACCTAGTATCCTCTTTCCTTCTACCTAAATATTAAAATTGTACCTATATATTAAAATAATTAAAAAATTATTTTATATCTGGGTATGAATCGCTTAAGAAATGTATTCAGTTTAATATTTAGCACCATTTAAAGACTTTAACACTTATAAAAAAAATATTATTTATTAGATGTCTACAATATGAATACTATTTTTGAAACTAAACGTAATTTAATATATTTCGATTTTTCTTAAATAAATCTTTAATTTATTATAGTATTTATTAATGATTCAAACAATAAAAGAACTATTATTGTTTACACCATAGTAAGTTCAAATTGTTACCGTTAACCAAAAAATAATTTAATTTATGTAGGTTTCATAATAATTTAAATAAAAAATGTGATAAATATATTTTTTTTTGTTATTTCTAATGTTAAGCGTATAAAAAATAGTACAAAAAAGAAAACCTTGAAAGATTTTCATTTCTGTTGAAATAAATATTGACATCTTAATTTTAAAGGAAAATTTGGATACTGTCAACATTGCCGCATGGACGAATGTATTATTTTGCTGACAGCGTACTATAAAAAAACATGATGGAGTAGAAACAGTGATTCATTGATGTCGTATACAAATAATCAACTTTTTATACTATATTATACATTAGATACTATACATTGACAGAAAACATACCTCAAAAACAACTTAAAAAATACAATCCGGGTTATATATTTAAATTTGTCACTAGAATGAAGGGAAACAACCCAATACTTAATATAAAAATCAAACATTATTGTTTATTGATTTTAATTCTTTCTATTCAAGAGTCTATGTAATTTTTAAATGTTACCATTGTGTTTCGGGTGTCTACCGTCTTGTTACCAGTGTAACAGACGAACAATTCAATAAATCGAAGAAAAGTTACTTCACCGACATTTTGCGGTCATTACCGTTATTCCCGTTACGGTTGAGGCTTCTGTGACAACCGGATTGGTATCATTTTTTCCCTCTACTAAAGCAACAAACAACGCGTAATTACCGACGAGGTTTATCTCGAACAACAGAGGAAAGAGACACACATTTGTAGGAACTCTACAGGAAAATTACCTTTCATAACTATAATAGGTCGTTAACCGTTTGACGACGAGCGTTTACCCTAGATAGTTGGCCAAAAAATAACGCGATGTAATTAATACACTTACGCCAACTCAAGAGACACACATAAGGTAAATATAGTAAATACGAACATCTCTAAGGCCATAAAATTGTTTCGTCATATACGGATGTTACAAGTGTGAAGTACACACATTTGGACTGAAGATGAAACATGCAACTTGATTGTATACAAGGAAATATAAAATATATGTTCACAGTCGAACTAACTAGGAAACCAGAAAAAAAGTTCCTCCCGCGACCAGTGCTTGTGGAAATTAACACTTTAAACCTTACATATACACACAAAATTAACTACATTGGACGTTAGGTAATCGATAATATTAGCCAAATATGCTTAAATTAAATTCGAAAACACACACGCATCGACCGTTCATATTGGAAAATGTCAAGGCCATTCGCTATATTATAGTTGTTAGGGATGGACATTTGACCGCTGCGCAAAGCTATACCCTTACAATGATTTATATAATTATAGTCGCTGTTATACCAAAACTACAGGGCGCAGAGAATTTGTCATGTTCACTTAGATAATAACTTTAATCTGATTATACAAAACAGTACAATTACTTAGTAGATACGGGACTTCAGACCTTCGAGATACTGAAAAAAGGCCTGACAGATAAATCTTACAATTTTCTATTCTTAAAGGTGAAGTTTAAATAAAACTGTTATACGTTAAATATGCTTGAAGAAATTAATTTTATTTAAATGACTATTAACAGGCTATTTTTTGTTCCACCCGTTAAATATCTGTACCATACAAAAGTAAATTCGCAATTCGTGATTTCAACATTGGAGGCTATATTATTGTCGGTACAACCGGAAATGTAATGGATGCCGTAGAATAACAGCAATAAGAAATTACAGGAAAAGGAGTGTTATTTTAATGATAAACGGGAAAACGTAATAGCTGCTAAAGCAACTATTAGTCAGATATTTGTAGAAAAATTGACGCTCCCCTAATTAGGCCTAATTAGGTTCATCAAAACGTTATTCAAGTATGACAATACTTAATAATAAAAGTTAAGAGACAAACGTCTCTTGTTGGCAGCGGCATATAAATACATTTTTTTTCTAGTAAAAAAAATCTCAGCTTACCAAAATGTATATAATTTAAGGGGAAGGTGCCTACTTAGATATTTTACATCCATCTCGAAAATGATTAATTTAACCTACGTTTTTTCACTGAATATTAACAAAAAAATACATTATTTAAGCGTTAAGTAGTATTGAATTCTTAAGATAAATATAAAATATTTTTTTATAAATAAACTGTTTCTCTGAGTCGTTTAAAAGGTACATAAAAAAGTTTTGTTTTTTTTCATCTCGGCTTAATGGATACCCAATGGTCGTCAACTCAGATTTAAATTCCGCGCTAGCATTGACGAAAACCGAAGTTACTGCCGTCACGTGCAATCGACGTCTCAGACTTGACAGAGTGAATTTGGTACATTAAAGAACTCTCGACTGCAGATTCGAACACGATAAATCCCATGGGTAAATTTTTTGGTAATATAAATAAATATCTAAATACATTGGTGAAAATTAGGGGAAGCTCGGTGGAAGAGCAGTGGCTAAATCCTTTCAAATATTTAAAAGAATTTAAAAAATTGCTTGGAAGGGAAACTATACTTATTCGAACTTCTCTTTTTGGCCGATAATAAAAAGGATTATACCTCGAACCACCCTAATATCAAAAGTATACTTACAATAAAACGGCATTTCATAATAGGCGAAATGTAAAGATAACAGGCTAATAAGGAAATAAGTAAATTTTATATTTTTGAACTTTTTATTATTGTACTAATAAATAACCACGCTTTGTCGAAAATTCAAAATAGTTGAAGTTGATAAGTAAGGAAATTCATAACAGCTGTGTACCATAACGTTTTAATAAATGTTCTCTATCTTTTGAATGGTCGTGCTATAGATAATTTAAAAATAGTGAATGATTGCATTCTTTTAGCACTCTTTACGTGCGCCTGCAGTTGGCTGCGACTTCATGGAAAGAAACGATAATGAAATTAAGAAAACGGATGTTGTTGCACATTGTTGAGTTTTTTTATTCAACTCGGGATATCACGCGAGATGGGAAAAAACGTAACAAAGCACACGCGTAACTCGTATTACGATCGGCAATCGGTTTGAATGGGAGAGAGAGAAAGTCGCGTGAAAAGGATATCGTGAACACCCGCCGGGGTCGTGACAAAGTCTTGTGCCAAGGATCAAAGCGGGGCGGACGTACAGCTAACACTACCACAATGGGATTTTTTCATTTTTGATTTTGGTTGTATTAAACGGCAACCCAAATGCTATTGAACTGTCCGCCGGCTCTGTACAATCACGCCGGCCGATTCTACAACAGACACAATGACATTTTGACCATACGCAGTGGGTAGAATACTACAAAGTCACCAGGTGCTGCAGTGATAGGCTGTGGCCGTAGAGGAGACTACTTGGAGTTTTTCAACTCGATATAAACGCCAAGTCAAAAAAGCGACAAAGCGAATATCACATTGAAGCCGGTGGCGGCTTTGTTTTTCTATCGATTTAGTTACGATAATCCAACCAAAAATTTTTCGCAAAACGCATTACAATCTAATCTGATTTTCCAAAAAAAAATTTTAAAAACCGCTACTGCGCTACATTTGTAAACTGGATAATACGCGGGACGCAGCCGTAGAATTTTGACCTATTTAAACACATTGATGGTATGCAAATGAAATGTACATTGCCGGAGTTTTATAGCCATTATTTTTAGATCAGGTTTTTGCATATGTAATTCGAGAACATTTCATTCTTCGACAATGGTCCCAAAAGATAATGGCGATGGTTTTATGAAACACAAAAATCGCAATACATTTTAACATCATTAATACCGTGTTGTTCAGATTTTAAATATAACCATCACAATTGCTTTGTTTAACTGACTTAAAGAATTATGCCAATTCTTATACTTGTGCATAACAAAATTAATTGAAATTACCGTCTATATGTTTACAACCTATTAATCTCTAGCCTCAATAATTAGTTTGTTTTGAATTCAAGGCCTCAAGTTCTATTTCTTTGTCAATAAAAACAGTAGGCATAATCGCCACAGATTCAATGTCAACGAGTTATCGACAATGGTTGTTTTTTCTAGGCTTTCCACACAAAGCCTGTAGGGTAGAATGTTGTTTTTAAGGAAGCGCCAAAAGAAACATAATTTTATCTTATAACATTTTACAAATATTCAATAGTTTTACTAATAGCAGAACTCGAAATACATAGCTTGTTCATGGTGATAAGGTTAGTCGTTGGATACAATCCAAGAAACATAATAAATTGTCTTTAAATCGTCGAGCAATTATTCTCTCTACATACGCAGTGCAACCAGCTCAACGATTTATTTTTATTTTTTTGAGACAAATAATGAGTTTAGGAAAATGGTAGGTAGTTTGTGAAAATTGACGACTCGAAAGGAAGAAGGAAACATGCGAGTTCATCGTACCGGAAACAAAGATGGTACAGACAGTATTATCCTGGCCTGGAGAAATTGTCAAAGCGTTCATTTTGCGTTTTGCATTCGTCACGCCTATTGTGTAGAACGGGCATACGTTTTTTTTAATAGTCTTCTTTGCAAACATAACAGATAAAAGAATATTATGAAAAAAAAGCATTACCTTTACTTAGGTATAAACGTTAGGCCATACAAAAATATCAACAAAAAAAACCTATACTACCCGTCGTAATAATTCCAAAACTATACGTTATTTAACTAATAAAATAAAAAAACAAAATTAATGTGCAAAGCAGAGAAACCCAGAGGTGTTTTAGAAAACCATCGTATAGCGTTTCTTCAATAATAGCCAGGCACCATTTGAAAAAATAATGGACTGTAAACGAAATCAAATGGAAGATCCACGCAAATTGACAATCGTGACCTCGATAGAAAATGTAGGCAAAATATTGAGACCAATTTACCTAAATCTAGTTGGAAATTGACCAGTCATCAATTCGTTTTGACATTTTTAGGTTATGCAGTTAATAAAATATAAAATCGTACTAATAACAATAATAATATTAATATCATTATAAGTTTTCTTTTCTTTTTCATACGGTTTTACGACATATATCTATAATTTAAGCGAGACGACGTTGTTGCCTATTTAATGTTGTTCACAATGCATCAAACCAAAAAATTAGGAATCGTTGTTTTGTGTAGTCTTAATAATCACTGTATCAAGTAACGGAAATTTATAATAATAAATTATTCTAAAAATTATTGTTGTAATTGAGGTAACCTTCGCCAGTGATCGTCGAGAATACGTTGAATAGAGTACGAGAAAGGGAGAGCAAAAAAACACCCTTTTTTTTAAACATCCCAATTGCATCTCAGACGTGTTACAAAAAAACTATATTTGATATTTAGAACTACACACGAGGTACAAATACGAGGCCAATAATATATTATAGACAAAATTATATAAAAACTTCAAGCCAATAGTATACTTACTCACTTATTTAAAATTCGTAAATATCAATTAAATGCAGTTTAACCTATTAAATTATCTAGTCAATGTATAAGTACTACAAAATAATAGTGAATTTTAAATAGATTTCATTCATTACACTTAACATGCTAAGCTGAAAAAATTATTGGTTTTTAAAATGTTGTATTTTTTTAATCATAATAATTTGAACGCAAGACTTTGAAAAGTATTAAGTAATCGTCAGAATCGCTTATTTATCTCTGATCAATTATCCATAAAAATGTATATCCACCTATATGTATGTATATATATTTTATATATTATGTATGTATGACGTCCAAATTTGATGGTATTTTTTGCAGCTTATATTTTTTTCCAACATTAAAGAACTTGTTGAAAATGTAAAAAATACGCGATTAACAAAGAGACTTTCACAGGGCTTAGCAAGAGACTTCTGGAGGACCGTCGTACAGGGGCGGGTAGGCTTACACAAAAGTACGATTTCTCCTATGGACCCTGAATAGTAGGGGTCTTAAAGCTGAATGGAGACCTACGTATTAAAAATTACTTAAGTTACATTATTATAAATAAATAATTTATTTTTTCATTTGGAAATAATAAAAGGATGGCCGTAATTTTATCTAATAAATTAATGCTTAAAAAATTACTTTTATTACCGACAAATAACATTAAATAAAATTAGTCAGCGACTCCATACATGTTATAGATATAGATGATGCGTATGCTATTTATTCTTATATTATGATTCAAATATTATTTTAATTACAAAAATTATGTTATTTTAAAAAGGAAATAAATTAATAAATAAATCAGTATTAAAATTATTTTTAAAAATGAAGGAGGACTACTATTAATGTTTGATTGTTTGTACATAGTAGGTACAAATAATTTGTAAGATGGGCCATGGTACACCTGTAGGGTAAACCTTTGGGAGGAGGACTTTTCGCGAGGGGTTTTATGTGATAATGGTGTTGAGGCTATTGAGAAAATAAAAATATAATTGAAAAAAGTACCTATCCGCCCCTGGTCTGTAACGCTAGCGGTAAAAGAAAAAACTAAAATCCGTTACCTATTTTTCACTCGTGTGCGGCGTTTAAACCGTCTTAACGTCCGCGCCTAAGTACGTTTATTTTCTTGGTCGCGCGCACGCGGTATAGCGACATGTATATTTATTAAAATATATTATCACATATACCGGCTCACTGTGCGAATGCACACATGACAATATCGAAGCGCGCTAATCGAGACAACATACACACACACACTGTACAACGCCGTCGATTATGGACGAATCGAAAAATGAACAAAACCAACAACAACGATAAATCTGGTAAAAATATTGGCTATTATTTTAATCACAATCGACACGTGTTGAATACGCACAGACGGTACAGCACACACGCGATGAGGCGGGAACACTGCGGTGCCGCTACGGGAAAAATATTCAAACGGCCGCCGGTCCGTGCAGAGGTATATCTACCACACCGAGTAGGATTTGAATTCCACCAAACGGACGAGCGTCGGAGGGGCGCATGCGCAACGGTGCCTAGGTCAAAGCGCGCGCTTTCCATTACTACCTCCACACTCCACACGTCTTCCACGGTTCGTCCACACTCCACACGGCTGGGCACACCGGTTGGCGGTTAGTGGTTACTACAATAATAATAACAAAATAGGCAATAACATTTAAAGTATTGCACCTGCAAAGAGTAAACGGCGGCTGCGATGTGGTAACGTTTAATAATTCGTTTCCAGCATACGCATACGTAAACATTAATTGGGCAGTAGTAACACCGTGCCTATAAATTATCGTTCGGGTACAACTTATTACCAATTACCCGGTGACCGATGTAACCCGCGGCTATACATATACATCATCATAATACATAATATATCAGAAGTCCACAACACTTAAGTCACCGTAGAAACCAATACCTCCTCAAAACCGCGTCGAAATTAAAAAAAAAAATTGTTATGGTAGTTAGCACCGCTATTATAGTGATTATTAGTTAAAACTTTTAAGTCTAATTAAATCTTGAAAACATCAAACAAGTAATTACACTAACTGTAATGCTTAGAGAAAGAAATAACTGTTCACCTTTGGTCCGGTCACGGGGACAAGATTTGTATAGGATACGAGCCAGGGGATAATTTCCTTTATTGCATATCACCCCCCAGAAGAAAATTGTAAGTGCGACACTGTATCTGGCGAAACTATCACTTCCTCCCTCCGTATCACGCCTATGAAGTTCCTTTAACACATCGTCATTATAAAAATAATATTATTTTCGCGTATCACTACATCAATGTATCGTTTACAATTATATTATATTAAACATAAATATTAGAACAACATAGGTACATAATATAGGCACAATAAAGTTGTTACATGAAAACTGGTTAAGGTTACATTATAACGGTCTACCGTCTACCGATAAATGCCTAACACTGCGAGAAGATCTAGAGTCCAAACAAGTTTTCTAAGTGTGACAACAATTATTATGAAATATATTATTGCCTCCATAAGAATGGACGGCGGAATTCGACGACGCATTACTTGCGCAATGTTTGACATTTAACTTCATAAGATAAATATAATAGTATAATTATTGAAAGTTTTCATAATGGTGTCACAATTCAAACTACCGATGCGATTTCACCTAGTCAAATGAATATTTTGTTGTTGAAGATTATAATATTATAATCATTGTTATCTGTATTATATGATTAGCAGTTTTATTTGTTGGTTCATAGCTTTGATGTGGAGCTGAGAAGGAATTGTTTTTACAGTGGTGTGCTTTATTTTTTTTTACTTTTTTTATCTGACCCATGATATTTTTTAAAACGCTGAACCGATTTCTTCATTTAGTAAGCCTATAGATCAAGATTGTAAATCAGAGGTACTTGATTATGTCTAATGTTTAAAAAGTTCACCTCTTCCCGTTCAAGATTGAGAAAAACATAAAAATATACATTTTTCATCTAAAAATTACGGCACACTTTGAGCATTTTCACACGGTAGTATTTTTAGTTGTTTGATAACTTAAAAACAATCAAAATTATTCATTCGTAAAAATTCATTTTTTTCCTTTTTTTATTTCATTTCATCAAAAAAATAACAACGCTACGGCATAGACATTGTGAAAATTTAGTTAGTCTACTGTACTGCCCTTACATACCTGTGATAGGCTGTCAAAAAAATGGAATTCAATAAAGAATCCTTATTACTGTATTAATAAGTATACACAATAGTTCAAGCTCTAAATTAAGAAAGTTGCCTATACTTACTCCTTAGAAATAGGCGATTTAGCGTCCTCTTAAGGGCAACGGAAAGCGTAAATTTTTTACTAATAAAGACTAAAACGCGAAGTCAATTTCATTTCAAATTTTTCTTTATTTTATAGTTTAACATCTTTTCTATAGGGCTAAAAAGCTGATTTTTTATTTCTGTTTAAAAAAATGTATAAACATAATTCGATTTTTTTTTTACTTTTTTCTAAAAATCTAACTAATTTTCTAATTGCTAAATCAAATCAGTCTTTGAGCCCCCATAGAAAAAAAAATTAAGCTTCGCATAAAAAAGAATAATTGAAATCCGTTCAATAGATATGCCAGAAAATGACTTCTACGAAAGTTTTTTTTTATCAAACTTTCGCCATAACTCGGAGAGTAATAACTTAAAAAGTATTATAATTAGAAAAACTTAATATTTTTTTATCTTAAAATTAGTCGGCATATTAAAAATAGCTACTAGATTAATTTTTGTCAAATATTGCCTTTCCTTTGCCTCTTAATAAATAGCGCTTTCCGTTCCCTTTAACAATATTTCATGTACTTACAGTTTCTATCTGTCGCGGTGTCGGTTAGTTTGTTAAATGTGTGAAGGGTTAAATCCACGGGGTATACACAGTAAATCAAACGAGAAAATAACGTCCATTAGGGTTTTTTATCGTTTATGCTTAAAAGTGTTACACCTCGATGTTAAAAAAAATAATCCTGCTGGGATATTTCCAGTGGAACAGCGACCCAAATTCATATGGACCAATATTTCGACTAAGGTTATTTAAACGAACATGTTCATAATACATATACATCTATAGTATCTAGTATATTTTTTTTAATCCGGGAACATAGTAAACTTATAGATTTTGAATATTGCCAGCTAGTACTTTTTATCATATTATTCTTTTGACAAATTACGATACGCTCGAGTTAAAAAAAACTAATCATTAACATAATTGGTAGAATGTTTTGATCGTGTGAATAATTAAAATAGCTGATGCCACAAGTACATGATATGTTTAGCAACCGAACTAGTTTTGCAATTTAAATAACCAACTTTCTTATTTTTTTAATAACAACCAATATACCTATGTATAAAGGTAAAAATAATCAAATCTAGTCGCCAACGATATTATTATCAATTAACGCGTAAACGAATAATTGCGCAAGTTATAAATTATCAAAATGCAAAACAAAAATCCTATGGTTTCACCTACTCGGGTAGTGGAATCGTATTTTGTGCGATAACTTAATATTAAATTCTACAATTATTAAATACATGACGGTGAAAAATATGGTGTTTCCATAAATCTTTATTCAGTTAAAAAAAAACTAATTGTACACATTTTCTGTAGCTAATTTGTTTTTTTTTTTATTCGTTTTAGGGCACTTTTTCTTGGCAGGGCAATATATTTATAGATTATAATCTGTCGGAGCTTGGCAAAATTGCCCCTGTACTCAAGTACAGAGTTTAGACGAATATCCATTATAATTTTCACAAGTCATCGGCTGACTGATAGATAACGCGGTGAATAGAGTTTTTACAATTCTACAAAAAAAAACAGAATACTCAAAACGCAATGTCAAACAAAACGTTTAAGATCAATTACCATTTTCTGTTTACCAACTTTATTTGTAATAAAAAAAAAAATCTAATAAACAACTGAATATTATTCAATATGTTATATTAGGCGAATAGAACGCCAGACTTTGTTGGTTAATATATTATTATTATTTACCTTTCACATTTCCACCATTCGGTAAGGCGGAGTGGATATTGCTTAACACGAGAGAGGCACGACCTCGCAAGTCGCCAGACAAGCAAAATACAACAGCCGTGTACATAGACCGTGTCATATAATCGCAGTGCCTATCAATGCAAAATTCACTATTACCTCTACTACCTCAGGGCGAATACAACAATTTGGAAGTTTACACACCACGACGAATATAATTATTTGACGCACTACCGACTTAGCCTTAAACTCACAAGAGTTCTAACCATCAAATCATAAATTAATTTGACATGCAAGTCCGTAACGCATATGGCGCTTTTTAACAATAATTCTGTTTTCGGTAAATACCCGTCGCATAATTTATCCAGGTCGAGTGTGGCCAAAGTTGCCAAAATCTTTCGGAAAGTCGATCACCGTATAAAGATACAAGTGATAACAGAACCGAATGAACGGCGTATTGCTTGTCACAGAAAATCTAATAATATGGTTAAATTAAAATATTTACCTGTAGCCGAGTTGAGACAAGGCCAAATACAACTAACCTGAAACAGAAAAAAAAGTCAACGCAACGTTAATTTTTTTTTAACTATAAATACAAATAATAATAGTTAAAAATAAATCATTTTTAGCAGCTCAATCCTGTAATAAGTTATCATCGTTCAACGGATATATCAAAAGTCAACACAGTAGATAAATAATTAACTAAAATACATCATAACCAATATAATTTTTATTCATACGCGCAAGGGTCATTTCAAAAAAGGGGAGATTTTTTCAGTTCATTTTTTAACTTAAAAAAACTGGGAAAAAATATTTCGTCACTTACATTTTATCTTATAGTTACTTCCTGGTTGTATCAGCAGTTCTCCGCGTTTCGTATTAGTATTTTGAAGGTAATTTTGTATATAAGTGACAGGGAATGAACTTTTCTTGTCAAGAAAAGCCAGCCAACGACAGAAAATGAGATTGAAGAATAGTGACTAAGTTAGCATTCTGATAATTTATTGAAAACTAATTGTACAAAGAACTTGTACCTTGTTGATGACATGTGGGGCATGTAGGGTAATGTACTTTAATAAAAATACGCAGACGTTTTAAAACACAATTCACTAAATAAAGCGATGACTTTGTGTGATGAACACTTTCAAATTATGATATCACCATTTTTAACGTCATGTATCAGTGTTGCCATTCATTTACTTTTTTTTGTCAGAAAAACACTCAGCGCTCCAAAGGTTTTGAACAACTATTTGAGGCTCCACACAAAAACCGTAGGATACACTTTTTTGACTATCTAGTATCTACACCTGTTGCGAAACATGACAATTTTTCTACACCGCCACATTATCCCATACAACCAACCAAAAAAAATACTATGAAGATAGAAATTTTACTGCATTTCTTTGTTGGACATTTTTTTTGCATGTCGTAAAATTTAAGCATATAA